GAATTGATCATCTAGATACTGGGTGTTGGGGTTCCAAGCCAAGAGGGGCAGACCCAGGAACCTCGCCTTTTCCCTGCAGAGCCCCCTGCCTTTCTGTCTGTGTTTAGGGGGAGGAATGGGGCCTGATCCCACATAGTGGGCACCCCATCTCAAGCCAGAGGCACCCACAGCATGCCCCTGGGGTCTGGGCTGGCTTTTGCAATCGTGGGTCACAAGCAGATCCCTGCAGCTCAGCATAGGGCACGTGCGTCTGGAGTCATTGCCTGCCCTCTGAAGACCAGAGAAGTCCCTCATGGCTGGATGGTTCTGGCGGTCAGTTTGCACAAAAGTAACTCAAACACGTATTTGGTTCCTAACCTTTACCACAGGGTGGCTCCACTGAGCCCCGTAGTGTCCACAAATACAGAGTGTATCAGAGAAACCACTGCTGGATGTGGGGCTCCCCTTACATTGTTGAGAGCTAGTCTGGTTATGCCTTGGTTCTATGGATGAGCAAACGGAAGACAGAGATAGCCCATGGTCAGCCTTGTCCAGGAGGAGAGCAGGACTCTGGTCCAGAGCTGTCTGCATCCAGGCTCTCTGAAAGCCGATGGTGCCATTCCTTGAACGCAGGCCCTGAGCAAGGCCCAAGCAACCCTGATAATAACTAATGTTACTTTAAGGACCACAACATCCTTGTGGTTGAAGGTTTAAAAAAACATCCATTGTTGGGTCCCAGGTAATTAGGAGCCACAGCTGTGCTGATAAGGGCTGGGAGGAAAAGTGTACCCAGATCACAAGCCTTCATGCTGGCTATGGGATTCACGGCAAACATTTGTGCTGACAAAGGCTGGGAGGAGGTAAAAGATCCCTTGTGAACTGTACTGTGCACTCCCTTTTGCTGTCTAGGTGTGACTGTAGTTAATCTTGCGAGATTTTAATGGACACTTCAGAGTGTACTTTGGGGAGCATAAATACAGCCTCTGTGATTGAAGCATTTGTTGAATGGGTTAGAGTTCCCTGACCCATGGTGATCCCTACGCTCATTGCCATGAAACCAACTTCTGTCATCCCTCCACTTCTGTGTCTGGGCATGAGTCATGATGAACTTGAGCCTAGCAGGGGTAGTGCCTTGGCATCCAAGGACACGGCAGCTTTGCAGGCAACCTGGCAGCTCATCTTAGCCTAGAGACATCTTGGCTGCTCCAAGAAAGGGATGCTAATCGCAGACCCAGTCATGTTATTTTTGAACACTCAGACCATTGTGCTCTGATGCAGTAATTACTCATGACAGCGCCTAGGAGCAATGCAGAGGTTAGAGGGAAACTGCTGTGTGGACTCTTGTTTCTCAGAGACGCGTCTTGTCCCGGCCTCCTCCACACAGCTCCCTTCAAGCCCAGCTCCACCAACCACTGGAAGGTTTTCATATTCACTTCCACCACAGCCCTGAACTAAGCTTGGCAGTCCTGTGAAAGGTGGGTGTTGTCTCTCCTCTGGCTCTTGAGGTGAAAGAATTCCTGAGCTCTAAGAGTCTTGGTTCCCTGGCTGAGTCTCCAGATCACACTTGATGACCTGATGCCTGTGTATCAGACTGGCCACTGTCAAACAGTCCTGGGCAGGTAGGAGATATCATGCCCCCCCCGCCCCCCGCTCTCCTCTCTCACCTCTCTCTCTCCTCTCTTTCTCTCTTTTTTCTTCTCCTTTCTCTCTTCTTTCTCCTTTCTCTCTCTCCCCTGCTCTGTCTTCTATTTCTCCTTTCTCTCTCTCTCTCTCTCTCTCTCTCTCTCTCTCTCTCTCTCTCATTTTGGACATGAAATTTGTCTCCCCTATCTCCCTCCTCCAGTTCCCATGCTATCTCCTGACTACTTCCTGGCCTCCTCTTTCACCTGGTCCCCATATTCCTCACAGTGGCCATCTTTGGGACAAGTGGATCACTGCCCAAAGGGACACCTTCCAGAGAGGCTTAGAATTCCTGTCTCTCCCATTTCCAAAATATGATATACAAAATTTCTCACCAGCTCTTCAGCTATTCACTGACCCTTGGCTTGTTTTCTGGAAGAGGATTAGAGACAGTGCAAGATTGTGGTCGAGAGCTAAGCTGCGGGTTCTCAGTTACAAAACAGTCTCCATGGGCCAGAGCGATAGGATAGTGACTAGAGTGTTAGCCTTGCACACAGCTGACCCAGGTTTGATCCTGGACATCCATGTGGACCCTCCCATATAGTCCCCTCAGCACTGCCAAAAGTAATTTCTGAGTACAGAGCCAGGATAACCCCTGAGCATCACCATAAGAGAAAGAAAAGAAAAAGGAAAGAATTAAAAAATACCTGGCATGTTGGAGTGGCAGTACAGTGGATAGGGCACTTACCTTGCTAACAGCTGACCTAGAGTTTGGTCCCCAGCACTCAGGATGATCCTCTGTGCCCCTCCAGAAGGGATCCCTATGTGCAGAACCAAGAATAAGCACTGAGCACTGCTGGGTGTGGCCCAAAAACAACAGTAAAAACCAATTCTAACAAGATGATTCAAGGGGTCATTGTGTCTGTTTTACATGTAGGAGGTCCAGATTCAATCCCCAGTGCCACATGGTCCCCCAAAAGACACCTGGAGCAGCCCAGACCTTGGCGTGGGGATAAACCCTGAGCAAAACACAACAATGACAGAAAGAGCCACTCTCCTTCCCCATCATGCTAGCAGGCTAACATTTCCTGCACATATTCTAATGGATACCATTTACCTCCCCAACCCCCAGCTCTCCCTGCCAGCAGTACCTTGAGTCCTGCCCTGCCACTTCTCAGGCTGCTCTCACCCCCAGGCCTGGCTTGCACAGTCTGCATCCAAATAAAACAGCACTGTGCAGTGAGGGGGGAGGGGCGGGGAGGTGGAAAAAGCAATTCCGGCCGCACTGCCACCCCCCTCGGCTCCCCAGGTCCCCAGAGGCTGTGTGTGCTCTGTTTATACCTGCAGTTGTGTTTTGCCCACATTTTCTAAACACACAGGCAGAGTCCGGTGGGAGAGCTCCGGATTGCTGGGCCTGGCTCTGCCTGAGCGCTGGGCTGTCCCCTGTCCTCTGCAGAGTGGGGCCACATGTGGTCACACCAGTCTCTGCTCAAAGGAAGCCCCGCAACTGCTCGGCAGCACCTTCTTCTGGGGGTGCAATCTTGGGGCTTCTGTGGCTAAGACTCAGGCGCCCCTATACCGTCCCAACCCCCAGCTAGCAGCCTTGCAGGCGCTTCTGTTATACCAGAGCCCTGAGGGTTGGGTTTGCTTCAACCTCACTCAGGGAGATTGTGGCTGGTGCACTCCTTCTGGGCTTCCTTCCACTCGTATTGTGAACCAAGCCTTGACGTCCACCTGTGTGCCGAGTGCTGGGTAGATGTGTGTGGGAGAATCGGACCCCTCCCCCACTTCCCAGCCCCATCATGGAGCTTTGCCACTGGGGAGGAGGTAGGCATACACTGCAGCTGTGGGCTCTGAGATGTCTCCAACACCCACCCCCTGCCCATCACACCCAGGAAGTTGAGGAGAGCTGCTCCCCAGGTTTTTATGGAGCATTCTATTAAAAGTGTCAGAGGTGATGCAGTCAGGAGGGAGGTGGGAAAGGGAACCCAAGTATATGGACTTTCCATGACCTGCCAGTGCTGGGAGCTGTTTCACTGATCCTTCTATCTGTGTGGCACCAATCTGAGCTGAGTGAGTCTTTTTGTTCACCCACTCTGTGGCTGGACAGTGGGAGGCTCAGGAAAAAGCAGTGTGATGGTCAGGAAGTGGGAACCAAGAGTTCCTGGTGAGGAAGATGCTTCTTGTCAGCATGTCCAGTGGGCAGAGCCAGACTAGGGCCTGGATGCCTGCCTTAGGACTCGGGCATCTGACTCTGTTCTCTCTCAACCCCCAGGCCTCTTGATAAGGAGAGGTGAAAAGCCAGCATGGGCTCTGTATGATGCTGTTTTCTTCTGTGGAGCCAGTCAAGCCGGAAGGTTGGGTTGAGGCTTGGCGTTGCTGGTTTCTTGTTCTTGGCTGTCCTGTGGCTTCCCAGGAGAACTGCAGGACACTGTGGGGGTCTCTGCACTGGGTCTCTTCATCCTTAATCTTCATCTCATTGTAGGGACCATGAGATGTTCAGAACATCTTGCAGTTAGTTCAGAATTTATTCAGAACTTGGTGCAATAAGAGTAGCCTGCACATTTGGAGAAGTTGGTTATTGGTGAGGGTTTTGGGTGTGGTTTGGGCTTCTTGTGGTCATATTTCTTCTGTCTCCAGATGCTATATATTCATTGCATTGCTGGGTTTCAGCCTCCTAGTCAGGGCTCACTACCTGGGCCCTGTGTCAGGATATTCAATTCCTAGATCAGGGATAGTTGTCAGCTCATTTCTTTACATGCCCTCCTGTCTTCCTCCTGAGTTCATCCCCTCTGTGTGTCCATACATCTGAACTGTCATCCCTGGAGTACCCTTCTGCCTTCCTTACTCTGCCATGGCCTAACGAATGAGCTGCATGCCTGCAGATGGGCTTGCTAATGAAAAGAATTTCTCCAGGATGAGGCGAGCTGTGGAAGAGGGAAGTAAAATATGCCCGTTGAAAGCCAAAAGCAAAAGTAGGACAAGTCCACAGGCCCTAACCTTGGCTGAAACAAAGACAGCCTCCCCGTCAGAGCATCTAAGAGCATGTCCTCTTACTGGACGCCACTCTCTGAGCATGAGCTAGTGGCAAAGAGGACCTTCAGGGCCTGCTGCAGTAGCAGGCTTTATCCAGCTACCGGACGTAGCTGGGTGCCATGGGTTCTGTCTGAGAGCAGTTTTCAGAGTTGGAGGCAGTTTCACACAGTGATGTCTGCCAGGCTTTACCTGACTTTGCCTGTAAGGGCATCGTCCTTGGGGGTGGGGGCTTCGGAGTGGACCAAGGGGATCTTTGGAGAGGGAAGTTGGCTTGAACTGGGCCATGCCACTGGCATAGCTTACTGAGTGCAGAGACCGAATGAGGAGGCCCAGGTACTCACCATATCTTGTTTGCTTCTCCACAGCCTGCACAGACAAGGAGCTGCGGAGCCTGGCGTCCAGGCTGAAGGACTGGTTTGGAGCCCTGCATGAGGATGCCAACAGGGTCATCAAGCCCACCAGCCCTGACACGGCCCAAGGCAGTAAGATCACTTTCCTCTGGCCCATTTATGACTTTCCCTCAGTTAGACACTGCTAACACAGCAGCTCTCCGGGAGTGGGGGAGACAATGATGTATAAGACCCAGTGATATATATAGATATATATATAGATATATAGATATATATATATATGTGACTCAGTTTCAGAAACATTAAAATATGGAGGAAAGAAAAAGTATTTGCAAATCAAGAAAATACCTTCTCTTTTATTTAAAAAAAAAAGTCACTTGCAGAGTTACCACATGCTTGGTATAGATTTTATTTGAGAAACATTTTTAAATGTATACCTCATGAGTAAGTTCACAAGTTCATCATTTAAACAGTTGGAAGCGTGTTATGTTTGTTTTTCCCCTTGTAACATAGAAAAACATATGAAAGAAAATGTGTATGTCTGTATATACATATATTTTATGCATATATATGTTTTTTTATGACCTATCATTTAGCAAGACATTATCCATGTTTTAACTTAGCTTTGTAGTAGCTATGCAGAATCTCAGTGTGTGGATATAATGTAACTTATTTCATTGGACTTCATTCTGGACATCGAAGTGTATTCCTGGACTTCAGCTCTTGTAAGCAGCTCTGTAGATCTCTCTGATCACAGGCAACCCGTCAGTCAGACCGCACTTGTTTTTCCACTCAGCAGGCCATCATCCTTGTACATTAGTTGGGAGGTGCAGGCCAGCCCACCTAGAAAGGCTATTCACCATCATTGTCCACATAAAACAGGTTCTGCCCCCCCAGTCCTTCCTGCCTAGACAGTTTTATGTGGCTTTGTCAAAACAAAAAACACATTGTTTAGGGCAGAGACTGCCTCAGTCCACTGCCGATACCACACTCTTTGGAACAAAACTGTAATTCTTCTGGGCTGAATGAAATAGGCAAGATGGTACATTGGCCACTGCTTAAGTGGCATCTGGTCTTCAGCCCAAATCATCATGATCCTCTTACCTTGGGGTTGTTCATTCTTTCCTTAGGCTAGATGCCCACGGAGTCACATTGATCTAATGGATAATTATGTCATAGCTTTGGGAAAGGTGGTGTTATTGCTGTGATCTCAGTGTCCTGAGCAGCTGTCTCGGTTGTGTCTCTGGAAAGGGGAAGCAAAGGGTTTTCATTCCACTCCTCCTGGACCTGCTTGGGACTCAAGTGGACAGTTAGTTCACGGTGGTTTCTGGAAACTTGTACCCTGGATTCTCTTGGTCATTTTGAACAGCCTTTTCATGGAGCAGGTGGGTGTGCTGACCTGCTCCCTGCAGTCTCCCGGGAAGACGGTGACAGACCATCCTGGGCAAGAAGTGACCTGAGTTCCTGAAGAGGGTTTTAAGTTTGAAGTCCCAAACTAGCTGTAGTGAAGGGGAGTGAAAGGAGTGACAGTTGGATCAGCCCATGGCCACAGGAAGGAGGGACATTGTAAGTCCAGGAGTTCAGAGTAGGGAAAGATTGAAACCCCGCAAATACATGGTTGGATCCAGTGAGCATCGTGACTCCACCTTCCACCCCTGCATATAGGTGACTCTTTACTGGAACCTTCCAAAGAGGTGTGGAATGGGCGTGACCTTCTGACTTCTGCACAGCCAGCTTGGGGCTGCTTTGCGGGAGTCAGGCAGCAGCAGATTTCTTGCTCCAATACTAAAATGTTAATATCCCCTAGAATTGATGCCTATTACATAGAATATTCTATACAAATGTGTCAGAGTAAATTATCTTCTTTTACTCAGCAGTACCCAGGGACATCATCCTGCTAGAGATTGTTCAGTCATGACCTTCCATCAGAGACGAGGCCACATTATGCCCTTTAAAAAGGGGGATGATTTCAAACACTGTTCCCAGACATCAGAAGGAATACGTTTTTAAAGGGAATGGTCTTTAGACTCGAAGGGAGAAGCTCTGCAGTAGTGAGAACACACCTGGACCCAATGGAGACTGCAGGGACCAGGCCAGTAGTTGTGCCAAGGGGCTGTGAGCGAAGTTCATGGGTGTTGACCAAGGGGGCAGGGCTGCTGGTCTCTGGACATGGAAGAGACTGCTTTCAAAAGGATACGGCTCTCTGGGGTTGGGGGCGTGGGGCAAACTTCCCCACTCCTCTGGCTTCTCCTGGGACTTACTGAGCAAGCGAAACAGCAGCCCCTGGGGCAGGAAGACAGAGATCAGTCAGGCACACGGGACCCTCTGCACCTCATGGAGACTCTCTTCAGGTACAGAGAACAGGGCTTCCTGGCCTAAACTAAGTGATAGGGTGGGTATGTTGACTCTGCAGGTAGAAGTGGGTTTCCCAGAGAGAGCTACACCCCTGGTAGGTCTGGGGTGGGGATTATTTCTCTGACTGAGGGGTAGGTAAGGGTTTATCCTCTGCCTCTGGAGACTTACCAATTCAGTTCCAAATTACATGCAGAATTGGGGATCATGCCGAAGAGGGCAGCAGCTCTAAGCACCTGCAGCCTTCCTCGGCTTTGGCTCACATCCTGCTGAGCAAACAGGAGTCCTGGTGAGGCACCTAGAAGTCCAGTGAGTCTCACGATCAGAGTTTAGGAAGGAACTGAAAGTAAAGTACAGCTATTCTGGTAACTGCTGCAAGTCAGTGCCCACAGTGACAGGTACAAACCCTAACAGGGGCTGGAGCGATAAGACAGCAGATAGTGTGTTTACCTTGCATGCAGCTGACCTGGGTTCGATCTCCTGAGCACCACTAAGAGTAATTCCTGAGTGCAGAGCCAGGAGCAACCCCTAAGCATTACTGGGTGTGACAACACCCCATCTTCCCCTCCAAAAAAAACCCTAACAACATGACCTGAGAAGGCACAAACCCAGGGAATTTTAGGGGAGGAAAGGAGAGAATGAGGTAAAGGGTTCAAGACAAAGGTGTTTAGTGTTACGAGGCTTAAACTATTAAGGTCAAGAAGCTACTGACTCCTAAGAAAGGATGAAAGGGAAAGGACAGGTCCGGTTCTCCAGCTCACAGTCCCAGCATGATCTTCAGTTCCCAGAGAACTGATACTCCATGGATTCGTAAGGCAACAGCTTTGGGACAAGGCCAGAGCATTAGCACAGCAGGGAGAGCACTTGCCTTGCATGCGGCCAACCTCGGTTTGATTCCCAGCATCCCATATGGTCCCCAGAGCATTTCCAGGAGTAATTCCTGAGTACAGAGCCAGGAGTAACCCCTGTGCATCACCAGGTGTTACCCAAAAAAAACAATATACATATACATATATAGGTCTTTGGTCCAATTCCCTGGAGCCATGTGATGCCACTTCTCTAGAATGGCCAATTTTTAATTTTTTTGGCGGGGGGGGGGGGGAGGTTTGGGACCATACCAGTTTCCACTCAAGAGCTAACTATGCTCAGGGATCACTTCTGGCAGGTTCTGAGGACCATATGGAAGGTCAGGGATCCGTGCAAGGCAAACACCCACCTGTGTACTGTCCCTCTAGTCCCATATTTTTGTTTGTTTTGAGGCCATTTCTGGAAATATCCGGGCATCACTCCTGGAAAGTTCAGAGGACTATATGGGATGCTGGAGATCAAACCTGCATCAGGTGCATGCAAGGCAAATACCCTACCCACTTTACTATTGCTCTGGCCCCATGGAATGGCCATGTTTAAATGGCCTCACAGGTTTCAACTTTTCCAAGTAGTCAACCCAGGACCCCCTTGAAGTCACCCCATCCCAAACATGCACGCTGGCCTACGGGGCAGCTCCAGGACAGGAAGTGTGTGTGAGGGAGAGGTGGGGTCGAGAGAGCAGAGTCTGGGCTTGATTCAACTTCACCATTGTTGACCTTGAGCAGATTCCATCTCTGAAGTGGAGTTGAGAGCTTCATCTCACAGAACTGTTGGAAGGATTCAGGAAGGTAATTTAGCATAAAGTGCAGAGAAGAGGATCTTAAGTAACATGAGAGTGCTTTTATCACTGATTCTAGGAAAATAAATCCAGCACATGGGATTATAACTTGACATTATATTGTGATTTGGATTTTGAGAGAAAGGCAAATTTTAGATTTGGGGCATGTCTTCTCGGGGGTCTGTCTACAATAGGACTCAATATCCCAAGTGTTAAGCAAAGTGTTATTATTCGAGTGCATGCAGTTTCTATTGTGGAAACAAATAATTCTTTAAGAAAACTACCCTTCCTCCCCCAGGGAAATAAGAAAGAAATTATTGTCTGAGTCAATTTGGATTCCATAGCATGTATCTCTGGAGGGGATTGCAGAAAAGGGGGAGGTGGGGGCAGAGGCAGCTACCTGCCTTGTTTTCCCATTAATGTTCAGGCAGCATGGATGGGACAGTCCTCTGGGATATAATCAAGACTTCAGAATTGTGAGATATAGTTTCATTTCACTGCCATCCTTCCTTTTCACTGTAGTTTTTTCTTTTCTTTCTTTTTTTTTTTCTTTTTTGATTCTCCAAATGTTTTTTCCCCTTAGAAAAGCGTGGCTTTTGGTATTGTACATTATCCTTTTCCTGGAATGTGTGCTTCCTTTTGGGCATCCCCTATGTCTGAAACAAGTCAGTAATGAAAAAGTAAAAAGAAAACAAAAAAAAAAAAACAAAAAAAAACCCTGTGTACATCACAGATAAATTAGCACTGGGGATTTGTTCCCTTTAGAAGTTATTTCCCTTAAATGCTAAATGTTGCTTTTGCATACTTTAAATGGCTTCATTAAGAAAAGACAAGATTCCCAGAGGGGGCTGAGACTGCATCCTGCCCATTTCTAGTGCCCTGAGGAGGAAATAGCCTTGGGCAGGAGGCAGGGGAAGACCAGGCCTGAGGGCAGTGACTAAGCCCTGCCTTTCCCTTGGCAGGGTTTGACACCAGCATCCTGCCCATCTGCAAGGACTCTCTGGGCTGGATGTTCAACAAGTTGGACATGAACTATGACCTCCTGTTGGACCACTCGGAGATCAACGCCATCTACCTGGACAAGTATGAGCCCTGTATCAAACCTCTGTTCAACTCCTGCGACTCCTTCAAGGACGGCAAGCTCTCCAACAACGAGTGGTGCTACTGCTTCCAGAAGCCTGGAGGTGAGGCGGAGGGCATGGCCCAGGGCTGCATGCAGGCTGAGCAAATTCCCAGAGTCTTTGCATGTCAGCCACACTTTCAACATATTCCATTAGAAAACCCACAAGCATGGTCCAGTGTAATAGGAGGTCCAGCTCTCCCGCAGGGATTGCTAACTTCTGGCAGATGGAGGTAGAGGTTTCACTTGTGACTTAGCCTGACATGTAGAATTACACTGTGATTAATTGGAGGCACTCCTCATTACAGTGCAAGACTCAGATTCTGGGTACCAGTGTTCAAGACTCAACCCATTTACAGGGCGCTGACTTCAGAGGACAGTCTCAGAGTGGCTTAATTCAATGCCTCCACTAAGTCTGCATTCAGAGGAACATTACCAGCATCACCTGTCAAGGTTTTGCAGGCAGGTGGGGCCCTCTGGGGGCAGCCTGGTTTTCTCTGACCTTGCTGTGCATGGATGTGGCTAGGGATGTCTTGAAGCCAGCGGTTGCTTCACATGATACCTTAGTGCCCTATCTCAGCCCTCCTAACCAAAACTCGTAACGGTGCTATGGTTCAGCCTTTTCTCGAGGCCACTATGGGTTTCTTGTTATGAGAAATACTGTCCATCATGTCTTCATGTTCCCTTTGGAGAAAACCACGTGATGCTTCTCCAGGGTAAATACTGATTTATACTGAGTATCTCAGACAGGAGTATTCTGATTATAAATTCTAAGTAACTTAAGAGACCAGGCCTGAGAAATATAAAGAAAGAATATGAAGACATTTATGTAAACTAGGATCCATCAAGGAAGTGACCCTGCAGGGAATTCTAACCCAGGAGAAGGCCCCCTGGGCACCAGGACCACCACTCAGAGTCTTCCTGGGGCTCCCACATGTCTGTGCTCCCTTCTTCTCAGCTTCCTGGGACCCTTGAGTGCCTCACAGGTGCATCCGGCCCTGTCCTGAAGACCTGGAAAGCTCTACTTCAGCTCGGGTCAGGGTGCAGGGTAGCTTAGGGCGTACAAGCAGCCATGAGAGCCCCACCAGGAGAGGAGGATGGTTACTAGGTAGAAAGCATTTTAAAGAGTGGTTGAGGGGCGGGCACACGAGGAGAAGGAAGGCTGGCAAGCTGAGCAGTACTTCTGGTTTGCTTCCAATGGTTGTAGCAATTCTTTGGTTATTCTGGGGCCATACTGGCAGTGCAGAGGTCACTCTTGGCGATGCTAGGGGACCATGCGGTGTCAGCCACATGTGAGTGCCATACCTGCTGTACTATCTCCCTTCCCTCTCACCCCCACCAACAGCCTATTTTTCCATGGAGCTTCATGACTTAGTAATCATTGCCATGTTGAGGGCTATGAAATCATGTCTTAAGCACTCTTTTCCTGCTAATGTCTATTTATATGCATTTTTAAAATTTTTCTCTATTAGGTCTTATGATTTTTGGTTTGTGTTTAGCAGGAATTTTTTTATTAATTCTCCTTTAGAACTGTTCTAGTAATATGCATTGTAAATTCTGCTTTCTGACTCTTCATTTTTACTAGGGGGAAATTTTAATTTTAAGCATAGTCAAATTTCTCCATGGTTTATTTTTTATGACCTTTTAGATGCAGAGGCAGTATTAGTTCCAACTTTAAAACACTAGAGCAATTCTTGGCTTTGAGTATCTTTCAGTACCTTTCTAGTAGCACTTTTTTTTTTGGTTATTATTGTGAATTATTCCACATTTCTAGTCCCAACCCCCAGATACCCTATGGCATTTACTGACTAGCCCATCTTTCTCCTTCTAACTTCTCTATCATATGTAAAATTTACATTTATTGTTGACCAAGCAGGCATTTAGTTTGGAGTAAGGATCTGGGGCTACACAACCAACTGATGGTCTGAGCGTGGGTCACTTTGTTTCAAAACTTTGGGAATTGGGTTCATTTTCCTTGGATCCAGAGAGTTAGAGATATAGCTTAGAAGGCTGGAGTATAACTTAGAAAGCACCCCCATCCCCACCCGTGCACACCTCTGACTAGAAAGTTTTTATGGTTGACTATAAAGTGTTCATGCAGAAGGTTGCTGGGGAGAAGCAAATGGAGTCTTTGAGCCAGACTGTATTCGGCAACACTCCCGGAATCTCAACATGGCAACTGGAGTTAAAATGGATTTCATGATTTACATACTATCTGTTCTATTAATCCACTGTTTGTAAAAGTGGGGCTCACCCTCTCTGCTTCTCATTTCTACTTCAGACTTTCCTTACCTTTCTTTCATGCTTGTGCTTATATGTTTCCAACTCCTTAGAAATGAAATGATTTTTTCCCATTATACAGTGCTCATTGGCACTTTTTAGAATCAAAAGTAGATAACCATAAATCCTTTTATCGGAAAATAAAACCCATTTATTAAACAGTGACGTAAAATTTTAGGTTTTATTCTCACAGGTAGTTTATTTCCTTTGTGTTTTTAGTTACAGGTGCTGTAAATAAAATAGATTTTTCTCCCCATTATATTCCTTCACTGATGAACAATGAACAATTCCTTTATTGTGCCCAAATAATCACTGTATTAACAATTCTAATTGGTTCCATGGACTTTTTAGGTGTGAAACCATAGTCATGCAGTCCTCCTTCTTCTGTTTCAATGTTTATGTTTCATTTCTTTCTCTTTTCAATATCTGCAAATCAATGCCAGATAATGGACAAATTTATCTAGAATCAGGTGCCTTATACGCAGCCATTCACCTGCTGTCTCTCTGAGTCCTTACTCAATGCTGGGGTCCCCACTGTACCCCCAGCCAACATCTGCCACCAATAGGAGCTGAGCCTTTCTTTAGTTGTAGTTCTTGCTTGTTTTCTGTTTACCTCTCATTTTTCTAAGTTATTTCCTTTATTAGCTTACCACTCACTCCTTCCTGTTCTGGGAGTTCTGTTTGACATCCCTGTTTATTATTTCCTGTTTACTAAAGGTTTCCTCCAAAGTGCTCCTTCAACTGTAAGCTAGAGGTACTTTTCCTCTGGTTAAATTGTCTGTATTCTACAATTAGGCTCAGGGTGCCTATTTGCCCCTTCCTCAATTTTTTCATGTGGTGGGACTACTTATTAACTGGCTTTGATAGTTATATGTAATGGGAATTCTGCTATTTCAATCCTAAAAAGTGTGTTTCTCTCATACCAGAAAACAAAGGTGCTAAGTATAAAGTTCCTCAATCAGCTTGTCTTTTCTTAATATGCATTTTTAATCGTTATTCTCTGCATAATAGTCACATCCCACTCTTCAAAAGGAAAGAAAATTGCCACAAAATCTAAGACAATTATGTGGTAAACGTAGGTCCCTGAATCTTTTCGTCTCTACTGCTTTTTCCTGAGATATGGTATGCTTTTCCTAAGCCCTGGAATGAAAACACTTGATTGGTCTCATCAGTTACTGGGACATTTTCATATTACTTCTGTGATTTCAAATATCACCTTCATTGCTTAATTGTCTTCTATGTCTTTTTCTCCTTGAGCCTTTGTACATAGGCATTAAAGTCTCATCTTCTACAGAAGAATCCTTGACGGATTAGGGAAATCTTTGATAATTCTCCTCTACTCAGCAGCAAACATTTTCTCTTATGAATTCTCCATCTCGAGTTTGTCTTGTTCTTTCCTCCATTTTCCTTGCATTGTTTTTTTAGTGGGACTCATTTTCTCCCTTATCTTTAAGTAGCACTGTAGCACTGTCGTTGTATTGTTCATCGATTTGCTTGAGTGGGCACCAGTAACATCTCACAACAAATTGTGAGACTTGTTGCTGCTTTTGGCATATCAAATACGTGACGGGGAGCTTGCCAGGCTTTGCCGTGTGGGCGAGATACTTTCAGTAGCTTGCCAGGCTCTCTGAGAGGGGTGGAAGAATTGAACCCAGGTCAGCCATGTCGGCCGCGTGCGAGGCAAATGCCTTACCCACTGTACAATCACTCCAGCCATAGAACCTTTAAAAAGAAATGTAAGACAATTACATCAGGAGGGGGAACCTGTAACTAGACACTCGTTATTTCATGTTTAACTCAGTGCTCATAAGAATCAGAGTGATTTCTCTTCTATATTACAAAGAGCATTTCCACAGTAGAGGAAGAACTATTGCCTGCCTTATTCAGTAGTTGCAAAGATGAAACTAAACCTTGGTATAGATTAAGTGCTCAGTGACATAGCAAAAGGCAAAATCTGCTTGCCCTTTGTATCTTTCTCCTTTACTCTGAAAGCCAGAAGTCATCAAAACTGTGTTTGTGGCAAGGAGTGAAGCAGGCAGTGAATCCACAGGGTCATTACTGTTTCATTCACACCTGTCCCTTGACTGGTGAGTTTTACTTTCCCCAGGTTGTAAGCTGTAGGATCTGAAGCAACTATTCTTGTCTTCTTCTTCTTCTCCCCCACATAAGACCCAAGATATTTGTCACTGTTCTTCTCTTTGATTGGTCTGACATGCAGATAATTGACTGCCCTTTTTTATAGGGAGTGGGCGGAGGGCACACCCCACAGTGCTTCAGGGGCACTCCTAGTGGGCTTAGGGGGTCATATGGAATGCTGGGGGTCAAATCCATATTAGCCGGCAAAACAAGTGCCATTCCTGCTGGCTGTACTATTTCTCTGGCCCCTTGACTGCCATTTCTACATAGCAAAAGTCTGTTTGCATAATAGTACCTACTATTTTAAGTAGTTAATGGTATTGAAGTGGAGTCTCCCAAGTGGTGTTTAGGATACTGGTGGTTCCTGGTCCACAAAGACCAGGAGACTCAGTGCTGCTCACACAGCCAGTGTGGTAACAGGCCAGTCATGTGCAAGGCAACTCCCTTACCCCAACTCATGGTTTAAAAAAAATTAGTAACACTAATGACCTGGATTTGTTTTGCTGCACAGAAACGGCATATGGAGTAATTGTACCCCCAGGTGTGTTATTGTCTACATTTCACATCAAGACTGAAGCCAATTGTTAGAGATTATATCCTGTACCATCTGGAAACTGACTTTCATAAATTATTTTTTAGGTCTCCCTTGCCAGAATGAAATGAACAGGATTCAGAAGCTCAGCAAGGGGAAGAGTCTGTTGGGTAAGTCCAATTTCTTACCACTCATTTAGACACTAATTAAACCATCGATGTCTCTTGTAATATTGAGCACAGCTCAGGTTATTTAATTAGGGGCCAGCATTGTCTCTACTGCCCCCTTGATTGAAAAGAGCTTTGCGCCAGAGGGCACAGGGTGATCACCTAGCTCAACTCAGAATTCCACAGTCCTGCTCTGGTCCAAGGTGCTCTACCCTGACCCACACAAGTTGTAAAGCTGACTCAGAAAGATGCCATTTATTTGCTTACAAATTATTTTTTTCCACATGGGGAGAACTAATAAATGTGTATTTGCAAGTATTCTGAGTCAAAACAAATTATAATCAGTTATAATTACTGCCTACTTAGAAAAAAGTGGTAATCTTATTGCATTATAGATTTAGAACAAACAGCACCTGCTGCATCTTGATGAGGACCAGCACTCAGTAGACTAAGGCGTGTCGGCCTGCTAACTGGGGGACACACAGACTCTTCTAAGTGACAGGGTTTGGTTTAAGAGTTGGGTCAAAACCTTGGCCTCATTTGTTTGGCCCATTAAATAAAATCCAGAACTAGAAAGACATAGTACAATAAGAGGAGGTCTCTGTCAGGTGGTTGATGTAGATAATATTAATACCTCAAAGTTAGAACATTTCCTAATGGCCATTCCATTGTGTGTACAAAGAATTAAGATGAAAAGAAATAAGATGTCTTGTTAAATCTAAATAAATATTATCTATAAAAACTGTTTGCAGGGGCTAGAGAGATAGCACAGCAGGTAGGGCGTTTGCCTTGCATGCGGCCAACCTGAGTTCGATTCCCAGCATCCCATATGGTCCCCTGAGCACCGCCAGGAGTAACTGCTGAGTGCAGAGCCAGGAGTAACCCCTGTGCATCTCCAGGTGTGACCCAAAAAGGAAAAAAAAAACTGTTTGCATAGCAAACTAGAATTTCAGACTAAAAAGGACAGTGAGAAAATGGATCAAATTTTTGGTTTTCAAAAAGAAAACTGTAAGGATAAAAAACTTATAATGTTCTTTCTGTACTATCATCTCAATAACCATGAATGAATCTAATTCATTTATTATGAGACACAGACTATTACTGGCATTTGCAGAGTCTTAAAACTTGTAGTTCAAATAATTAACATTCACAAACATATATTTTATATAACCATGAGATACATCTTAAATTTTTGTTCACAGATTTTCCACCAAAAAAATTTCAAAAAGCTAAAATGATCAAAATCAATACATTCATTCTGTTTTGCTGTTATTTTTGGCCATACAAGAAACCAATCCTAGGCCCTCACATCAGTGCTCTACCCCTGAGCCACATCCCTCAAGATCAATCCCACATTCTATATAGAATTAGCCAAAGAGAATATTAAATGCAAGCACAGTGCCAAAAAGTGCGGGAAGTAAAGTGAGATATAGAAGAGAAAAAAAGCTCTAAGAATAACCTACCATAAACATTTAAAGTAGAAAATAACCAAGCACACCAAAGTATTTCTCAAGTACACATCAGAATTACTGGGTGGGGACTTTATTCAAGTACAATTTGTTACCTGCACTTTCCGCAGCTCTGGCAGGGGCCCAAGAATTGGCTTTCCCAAGTTGTCCCTGGAATGAAGTCCTGGGACCACTCTAAAACGATTAAGATAACAGAAATCAATGTCAACAATGAGTCTCTCATGCCCCCCAAATAACTGCAGAGGTTTCTAAACCCCAGCTCTAACCCACAATATTTCTCATGAGAAGAGATCCTCTGCAGAAGAGATCATTCTCATTTTATTATTAAAAAAAGGCTAGAATACAAAAACAGAATTAAGTGAATCATTTTATGAATAACATGCTTTGATATGGAAACAGAAGAAGTATATGCCTGTAACACTTAGCAACACAGATACAAAAGGATCAGCAAATTGAATCAGTAGTGTCTCATAACAATGTGTCATTCCTGATTCCAGGAAAGCAAAGCTATATTTTCTAATATGCTGCCAGTAATTTATGTCATTAAAGGCATATAAAGGATAAAAATCATGTTTTTCTCGAGTGTTAATAAAAAGTTATTGAATCAAGAAGAAATAGAGAATCTTAATAGACCAATTACTAACTAGTAGGAGAGGGAATCAGTAATAAAACATCTCCCAATGGAGAAAAAGCCCATAACCAGAAAGGCTTACCGTTTTAAGAATTAACTCCAATCCATTTCAAACTCATCGAAAAAGCCAGAGAAGAACATACAGCCACAATATTTTTATGGTCAGCATTATCCTGATATCCAAGTCAAAAAAAGGACACTAGAAGAGGGCTAGGACCAATATTTCTGATAAATATAGATACAAAACTTCTCAATTTGGTTCTAGTAAACCTAATTCAGCAGCACCTTACAAAGAGCACTCACCATGGATCTCTAGAAGAGATGATTCAGCACACGTTAATCAATATGATGAAAGAGAAAAACATGATCATCTCAATAGATGCAGAGAAAAAGCATGTGGCAAAATTCAACATCTATTCAAGACAAAAGAATTCTATAAAATTAGGTTAAGCTGTAATCAACAAATACAGTTTAGCTCTAGGAAATAAAATTAATGTTAAAAATTCAGTAGAATTTATAGATACAATGAAACAATGAACTATCAAAGAAACTGACCTCATTTATAAGAGCATTGAAGAGAGTAAAAGAAAAATTAAGATACACGTATCATAAAATGTTAAGAATATTTATAAAAATATTTTAGATCCTGGTCATTTATATAGAACTAGACAATTCTACCAAGATTCTAGAATCTTCTTTTAAAAATAGAACTAGAACTAGAAAAATCCTAAAATGTGTCTGGAACACCCCTCCCCTGAAACTCTAAGAAGAGTAGTTTATAGTCAACTTGTCTTTGCCAAGGGAACCAAGAACATTCAATGGGGAAAAGATAGTCTCTTCAATAAAGGGTACAGGGGAAACTGATATTCACATACAAAAAATGTGAAACTAAAACAGTATATTATACCAGTTACCAAAATGAACTTGATGCAAATATGAAACAGAAGGCATAAATCCTCCGGAAGAAATCAGAAAAAAAATTCTTTGACAATGATGTTTTTATTTGACACATAAAGCACAGACAAAAAAAAAAGAAAAACACACAGGCAGGGAGTAAGAGAAGAGAAAATGGTTAGAGAAAGAAACTTCTGGGTCTCAGACACGTGGCTCAGAGGACTTGCAGCCACACTACCTTATAGCACGCACCAAGGTGAAGGATCACAGGAATTCTTATCACAAGGGCCCAAACACATTTTTCTTCTGTTTTTGTATCAATAGATGAGTGGTGTTAACTTGTGCTTATCCTATAGATGTCAGATCTCTAAGCTATATATACATTGAACTCCATGTCCAGTTGACGCAGAGTTGCATTCTAATTCTGTCTTGGCAAAACTGGAGGCATTGTCATTTACTGCTGTGGGCAGGAGCCTCCTGTGATATCAGCAGGGCCCGATTTAACTGGTCCTCTTGTTCCCCCAGGAGCATTCATACCTCGGTGTAATGAGGAGGGGTATTACAAAGCCACGCAGTGCCACGGCAGCACTGGTCAGTGCTGGTGCGTGGACAAATACGGGAATGAGCTGGCCGGCTCCAGGAAGCAGGGCGCCGTGAGCTGTGGTGAGTAAGGCCTTCTGCTGTGGCACGCCTAGCAGAGGGGGAGAATGGCGAGGGGTGACTGTAGTTTCCAGTGAGTGCTTTCACAGGAGAGACTGGGTCACCCAAGAAAGCCAGAGAAAAAGCAGAGCCAACATTCCGAGGGACAATCAGGGTCAGGAGGTTGAGGCACAAGTTTTGGACATGGCAGTAGCTCCTGCAAGCTGAGAGCAACAGAGGCTGCTTTCACTGTCTTGCCAGGCCCAAGAATTGGCGGGGATTCATCAGAACCAGCCATGCCCCTCAGCCCCTGTGCAGGAAAGTTACGTTCAGAATGCAAATGGCAGGGGTGGGTCACATCCGGGGGCATGGGTGCATGGTCATTAGTAGCTGCTGACCTCCCTTCGGCCCATCTCATCCTGCCTGTTGCAGAAGAGGAACAGGAAACCTCTGGAGACTTTGGCAGCGGAGGCTCTGTGGTCCTGCTGGATGACCTTGAGGACGAGCGGCAGCCCCAGGACACACTGGGGAAGCTGCGTATGCACACCCGGGCGGTGACGGAGGATGACGAGGATGAGGATGATGACAAAGAGGACGAGGTGGGGTACATATGGTAGTGCCCGCCGGGAAGAAGGACCCGGGCCAGCACCGAACTGCAAGTCCCTGCTTCCTGTCCCCACATCTGCGTCTAGGCACACGGCGGGCCAGGCTTCGCCTACCCCTGGGCTCTCTGCCTCGGAGGGTCTGCACACACTCTTGTTCTCGCCACTGTCTTGCTCTGCACAGCAGGCGGGTGGGAAGAAGGGGGTCGCGCTTTGCTTTCAGACAGGGGAATGGCTGGCCCCGTTCAAGCCGCCTTCCGTAAGGTTTTTTTGCACCAAGCATGTGATTTCTGTGGGATTCTGACAATGCAGGGAGCCCCCCCCCCCAATTCGTCCCCGCCCTCTATATGTCCAAGCCCCATCTCGATGGCCCCTGTCCACACAAAGGTGGGTATTACAGCATGGTTCCCAGCCTTACGGTGTCTTAAGTGCTTCTCTTGTGTCCTGTAGATGTCGTGGAAAACACACCACACTGTCCCCTTTCTCCTCCCACCCCAGCCCACCCCTTGTTTTATTCTTAAAAATTCATTCTTTACATCACTCGATCTGGCTTCCCACAAACAACAGCCTTAAATCAGTCAGGAGTCCCTCTGCGGGTGTGATGCTCCACAGCGGTGTGTGGACAACTGTGTGTGCTACAGACACACCCGGTCCACACACTTAGAGGAAAAAGCATATGGGGAGCACCTTACACCTCATCTGAAAAACAATCTACCAACCTGTCAGCTTGTCCAGACTTGGATGGCAATCTCTCAAATAAGACATTCCCATCAGAACCCTTGCTTTGCACTAACCAGCACCACTTTCAGCCTACAAGCTGGGGCTTCTCCCTCTCTGCCCTGGTGGAGCTTCTGGGAGCCTTTTTTTTTTTTTAACTTGTATTAGTGAGACACCATGAGGTACAGTTGTAGACTTACAAATTTTTGTGCTTGGGTTTCAATTATACAATGATCAAATACCCATCCTTCCACCAGTGCCCATTTCCCACCACCACGGATCCCAGTATCCTTCCAACCCCCCATCCTCCCAGCCCACCCTGCCTATGTGGCAGGGCATTCCCCTCTGTTCTCTCTCTCCTTTTGGGTGTTGTGGTTTGCAAGAGAGGCAATGAGTGGCAATCATGTTTGGTCTATAGTCTACTTTCAGCATGCTTCTCCCATCCTGGGAGGATCTGCTGGGAGCCTTTTTGATTGGGCTAAGCCTCAGCCTGCATCACAGCCCTGCAGAAGCCATGTGACTCCCACGTGGGTGGTGTCAGTCCCAAGCCATTGCTCTCTGTCTCTTTGTCTCTCTCTCTGTCTCTCTGTCTCTCTCTCTCTCTCTCTCTCGAGCGCTCTCCCTCCAGTCTCCTCCTCCCCACCTCTGGCCGCAGCAGGCCTGTCTCTTGCAGGCTTCCCCTGATGGGACCTAATTAAGGGCTTTTTCAAGGGCATGTACACATTTGCGTCAATAGGACCACGAGGTTCCTGAGAACAGACTGCCCCAGGCTTTAAAATTTGTTGCTCCACTCCCCTTTTCTAGGTGTGAGGGTTCACCTGGATCTCACTCATCATTTGTTAAGAATCCATAGGTGGAGCCTGGAAAGAACCACACAGCGGCACTTGGGAACCTGGAGGGGTGGGGGGCTTTCAGAGCCAGCCCTGCTTCCACCCACCCTAGTATCGCAACACTGGTGAGGAAAGCCCTTCCCCATGGCCTTCTTTCTCCCCAAGGAGACACATTCGACTCTTGGTCCAAATCTGACAGCATCACCAACTCTGTACCTGGGAGGGTGTTGCTCCTGATCAGGCTGCCCACCCCTCCACCTTCCATCCAGCTACCAAAGAGCAGTCTTCAAAGTGGTCCTATTTGGTTCAGTTCACCTGGCCCCCTGGTTCCTACCTGCTGAGAGGCCCTCATCAGCCAGTCGCCAGGCCCTCTGGCCCACACTGGTTTACTTTCCTTACCCCAGGAGCTCTAGCCAGCCCACAGGAAGACCACAGAAACTCAGGCAAAAATAGATTCAGTCAAACCCGGATCACAGGGCAGCTGACCAATTCCCTACTCCAAATTGACGGCATCTTCCAACCCACCTGCAACTAGCATTTCCTAGTTCTTGCACTGGCTGGGCAGAGTGGCCAAGTGATTAGAGTAAGTCTGACCTGGGATTGGACATGCCCAGAAGCACCCACACCTGCCTACCAGGACCTGCACTAGACACAAAATTATAACCTAGAAAATAGGTGCTTAATTGTTCCCCAGGTTACAATAGCGTATAAAAGAATGAAGATTTTTTTAAAATTTTAACCTCCCTTTTAGACCATCAAAGAAAAACCATTGTGACGATCTCCTCCTACTTCACAGGAATCCACCAGAGAACAAATTAAAATCGACAAATTGACTTCGCTTAGAGAAACTTCTAGGAACAGTGAACCACTGATTTTCATTTGCCTAATTATCTTATGACAAGCGTCAAATTAAGATGACACTTAAAGATCCTTAACATTACTTAATGACGGAGAAGAGTGCTCCAGAGTTAAGTCCCAGTAAGGTAATAAGATGTTCATTTTCAGAGATCTTCCAAGAAGATCTTTTGATTCATTAAAATATTAAATAAAAAGCCTCTGGAGGCTGGAGCCCCCCGCCACCCCGGAGTGACATCATCACCACTTCTCAGGCCTCCCCCTGAGTGGCAGCGGGAAATTTCTCACGTGACTTCCATCCTTCTGAAGGACTCAGAGGAGACTTTTTATTTATCCTTACCAGTAGAATTTTTATTTTCCTCTGCTTTTTTTTTGTTGTTGTTGTTTTTGGCAGGAGTCCTTTAAGAAAAAACAAAACACTCCTACTGTGCTAATCCAATCCCACACTGAGACAGGTCTTGAGTGGATCTATCACCAATTAACTCCTTTCTGGAAACTCTTGATGAAAAGTGTCACTTTGATTTCACAAATGGCCCTTGGATTTAGTACCATTTCCTTGGCATCCCACCCAAGTTTCCTTCCACATGGTTGCCTGCCATTCCAGCGTCTTTCTTTATTTGCCAATCATCTAGGCATGGGGATACCTTAATGCTCCATTTGAGGTTTTATGTCCGCTTCCCTTTCCTTCCTCCCATACCTGCCTGCCGGGTGACAGACGTGACTGTCTGCCCAGGTCTGCCCCCCCGGCCCTCCCAGATGCCATCATATTTGTCATCATTTTCTTCCTTTGGCCACACTGTACAATAACATCAAGAGCCCTTTCTACAGTGGGTGGTTTTGGTCTTTTTATACCTTTTTCTCAGAGTCACTGATGTCTGTCCCTGTTCTGTGTGCAGCATTGTAGCGAGAGCCGCTACCCCTGAGTGTCTGTTCGTTGTTCCTATTGTAGACGAAATAGTAAAGTAGCAAAACCTAGTGAATTCTGAATGCTTTTCCATGTAGACTTCTCTGGAATGTGAACATGACTCTTTGGTTAATAGTAAATGCTTAACTGTAGTCCTGAGTAGGTGCATTTCTGTCTGTCTCAATAAATTTTAATTTGTCTGCAGTATCTGAATTCTTGTGGTTTTGTCCGCGAGGAGAAAACATGTTTTCTCACCAGACCAGATTCATACTGGAGAACAGTCTGGGTGGACAAATGAGGTCACTGGTGCAGCCAGGTCCTCGGTCACCAGAGAGAGACATGCCTGCCTGTGCAGAGACCCTGCAATGAGCCTGCCTTCCACTGCTCTTGCCCATCTCTGGGACTTGGTTCTTCCCACCCCATTTCAGGCCTGATGTCTTCTTCACACCCTTCAGCTCTTTCGGTGTGGAGTATTCCTTCTTTCCCTGGCCACTTACTCTCCACTTCTGAAAGACAAACCACAACCCCGCGGCTCTCCTGGACAGCCACTCCAGTTCTCAGCTCACAGATTCACACACCAGACGCTTGTCAAACACCAGAGAGCATCCAAATTGGAACAGGAATGATTTTCCTTCCACCTTTACCCACATCCAGGCCAATGCAGCTATGACTTAATTATACCCTAAGTGAGTAATTTCACCACCAGCTGAGGTCGAAACTGTCTCATGAATAATTCCACTCCTTTACCCCATGGAGTGGATTTTACAGACGATTTACAGATTGACAGTTCAAGGAAAGGTGCTTCATAAATCCACAAAATAACTGATGTCAGGAGAACAATGGCCAATGTGAAGCCTCCAGGTAGTTCATGGGTATGGTCAAGAGCATCTGGCACTGATGGACACTCTCCCCATATCCCTCAGAGAAATGCGGCTTCAGAGGCCTAGTCCTGCATTTCTCGTTCAGATGCGGCTTCCTGGGTACTGCCCAGGTCTCCTACGGACCAGGACCAGAGGAGCTAGGTCCCCTAGCTTCACTCGTGTCCTGCAAAGGTCACAAGAAGTCATGATACTTTCTCCAGATTCTTAGATTTGCTCACGCAAATAGTCTCAAGGAAGATTTCAAAAAGTACTCACTCAACATATCTTCTGCACTGAATAGGTTAGAGGATCAGAGATTAACATTTGTTGGATGGACATATACCACAGTGGGCAGGCCCCATAGCCAGTTCAGGGCATAAAGAAATGACGAGGGGCCTGAGCTGAACCTCATGGCCTCCTTGCTAAAGGGAAACAGGGGACAGTTGGCACAGAAGCCAGATGCACTTATGCCAATGCCTACCTTTCTTGGGTCCTTCCATCCACCTCCCTGGCTCTTCCTTCTAGGACCAGAGGAAGTAACTCTGTTAGTATTACCATTATCCTGACCTGGGTCCACTTCTCTTAACCTCACATGCTTTCTCTAGACACACATCAGCACTGCTGGTTCCATTGAGACACCATCACTTCTGCTCTGAGACACCCTCAAATCTTTGAATTCTGCTCCATTCTAAAATAGTCACCTGCCATGCAGGTCATTCTCCTGAGCGTCGCTACTGACACTGTCATTTCAAACCTTAAAAAAGTCAAAGTGATAGAAATGCCAAATACTGTGTCTATGGCAACAGGAATCTGCAAGGCTTCTCACACAAATCCTAACCAGTGTGAGCCTCCTGGCAAAGATGACGCTTCTCCTCTCTCTCAGGAACTTAAAGGGGGAAGGTTGGAGGATTGGTGGCATAAACCAGCAGGTGAACAATGAGGATGCATAACAGACATAGCCTATACGCATCAGGATATAAACAATAGTTACTTCTATGAGCCATAAGTAAAAATGGACTGCAATGAACTGAACAGCAAACAGTAATAAAAAAATTATTCATATGTAAAACACACTGTCACACTGTCACTGTCCTCCTGTTGTTCATCGATTCATTGAGTGGGCCCAGTAACGTCTCCATTTTTTTTTGAGACTTGCTGTTACTGTGTTTGTCATATTGAATACATCACGGGTAGCTTGCCAGGCTTTGCCGTGCAGGCAAGATACTCTCAGTAGCTTGCCGGGCTCTCCGAGAGAGGCGGAGGAACCGAACCCAGCTCAGCCAGGCTGGCTGTGCGCAAGGCAAACGCCCTACTGCTGTGCTATGGCTCTAGCCCATATGTTAAACAATGGTAAGAAAATCATACCACCCTTACCCAGGATTGAAGGAAACAGACCATCCAGGTATTACAACTCAGTGTTTGTGTTGGTTTTGCATCTATGAGGCCCCAGGTTCAGTTAACCAGCACCATAATAAGTAAACACAAAGCCATGATATGTCAGCTTTTGCTCAGGAAAAATTAAGTCAGTCTGTGACTGGAGTGATAGTAGAATGGGTAGGGTGCTTGCCTTGCACGTGTACAACCCAGGTTCTGTCCCCAGCACCCATATGGTCCCCCAAACACTGTCAGGAATAATTCCTGAATGCAGAGCCAGACTTGGACAAATAACTAAATGAACAATGAGAATCAGTGG